CATAATTTTTGTTTTTAATATTAACAAATTTTAATCTTGATATTTTTATTGTAAAAAAAGAAATGGTATTGGATTAAAAAAGAGAATATATTCAAATTTAATGATAAAAATAATAGAGATTAAAACATGTGCAAAATTTGAAACATATCTTACCTATTCGCGTTTCGGGAGTAGAAAGACCTCTTTTTCTCGGCATTTTTCGTCTGTATATCGCGCGTCCGTGCAAATAAACAACGAATGGACCAAATCACTCTCTCTGGTTAAAAAAAATAATTATTTGCACTCCTTTGCCGCACTTTGCACTCTTTCTCCTTTGCTACGAAGCGGCAATTACCATCGATACGCTAATCGCATCGGCATTACTTTTGCATGAGAGGTATTACCATTCCCATAAATGCCAATAGACATTAATAAGAATAGAGATTTTATAAAAAAATCCAAGAAATTGCCATGGATGGTTGTCGCGACGATGATAAATCACAGCATCTCTTTCTCTCTCTTTATCTTTCTTTTTCTTTTTTGCCTTACATCATATGCATTATCACGTGACACATAGTAAGACATCGAATAAGCTCCGCATTTTTTTCTCTTCTTTTATTCTCGATTTAGATTTGCGCACCGTTCTCAAGTTCTTCGAATTTCCACCACCGGTTTTTTTCATAATCCTGACCGAGATCGGTCCAGAAGTGACGGCGAGTCATATTGTTGGAGAACGGAAGTCCTTTGAGCACGCACTCCCCGTAGGAACGGTAATGGTGTGGGTGGGTGCTGAAGCCTTAAGCCGGAAGCCGAAACCTCGGCGTGACTCGACAAGGGAACGGTGTAGGTGGAGATCGAGAGGCGGAGTGTGAGATGTATTCTCTCTTCGATGAACGCTTAACCGAAACTGAAGAGCGTCTTCGAGACTCCCTCGCTTTCCTACGCGCGCGCGGAGCACCAGCACGATCGCATGGAGCGCGGATGTGCATGCGTTTTACACACAGACATACACACACGCGCGCGCGCGCGCGCGCGTGCGATAGAGATTTACACGAGATTTTAACTCAGTTCATCATTGTCTTGACGGCTCGACCTACGCTATCAGAAAGTAACGATGGTTCACCGTAAGCCACTGAATTTCTTAAAAAAAGGGTGCGTCTTTGCCTGTCATGGTTCACACCCGATGCGTTCTTACTCGACCACCTACGCGTTCACGCGAATATCGCGTACGAACTAACAGCAATAAATGTTTATGCTGTGAAGATATGCAGGTTGTTTTGACGACTAGAAATCTTCTCAATATTCAATCCTGATGAAAATAAAAATTGAAGTATATATCGCATATGATGGAAGAGTAACAGAAGCGTGAATGAAACTTCCAGAAAGCGAAAATTGGAGCAATGAAGCATTTACGCTTCTTTTACATTTTGTTTTAATTTTCGCTTCCTAGAAGTTTCGTTTATGCTTTTGTTACTTTCCCATTACATTCGACGTACGCTCTGATTTTTATTTTCATCAGAAAAGAGACAGTAGCCGAAAAAAATGACAGTTGCTTCAAGAATCTTAATGATTCGCTGAAATTAACGTTATTTTCTTGCTTTAAGATATTTTTCCTTCAAAGATATTGGATTGTTTTATCTAGAGATGGTAATTAAATCGTCTGTACAGATGAATATGCGTTGACGCGCGCGTCGTATCAATATACATATATGTGTTCTCCGTAACACTAACGTTATCGTTACTGCTTATCGTTTATTTTTTCTCAATTGGAAGAAACATACAGATATTCCACCTAATTTCTTTTTTCTTAATGTGAAATGTAGTATGCTGAATAAAATAAATCGAATTATCGTTTTGTAAAAGAATATTCCAAATCTAAGACTATTCTTTAATTTACATCTTTAATTTACATCTTTAGGAAATCGATAAAACTGATAAAATTTCCCTTATAAGTTTATATGTTATATCTATGTAACTTACAATTAGCAAACCAAAATTTATCCGAATTGTAGTATTTTTATTTATGATTTGATGAACAATTTAATTTGTTTATGTCGTGGCAAAACAAATTAAGTAGCCACTTTAAGATTTTATTTATTTTTGTTTCATCCATTGCATTCTGTTTTAAATGACAAATTAAATATTAATGCCAATAACTTTTCATAGCCGAATAATTTAATTAAAAATATATGGGAAATTGAGAAATTTGTTTTCTTTAACAATTTGTGTACTATTCAACTTAGCCAAATAAATTTAAAATTTGCTATCGTGATCAACTTGATATACATTATTGCCTAATGAACTCTCCCACCCTTTGCTACTCTTGGCGAACAACTCAACGTTTCAGCTTCCGATCATGATAAACAAGTCGACTCTCGAGAACATGAATATTCCATACAGAAGTCGTGTGTATACTTTTCAATGTCCCGATAAATGCGCGTGTTTGCAGTATATATGCGTGCCCCTGAAACTTGTCAGAAATCATTTGTCAACATGTATTCGATACAACGTATCTTAATTAAACTAATAATTAGAAAAAAATCTGCTGTATTCTCAACAGATCGTATGCGTATTACAATAAAAGATGTTTTGGCTATACGATATCAGCTAAAAGTATCCAAAAAGATCAGTATCAATTAATATCAGCTAAAAAATTTTTGTCAGGACATAGGATAACTCTGGTATATATGCACACCTATCAAAAAACTTAATTTATTAAGTATTATTTACTATGTTTAAAAGTAAACGAATTAGATCAATAAAAATTATTTTTTTTTATACTTTATACTGTCTACTGCTATGAAAAAAATATTAAAAATCCGAAATATTTATTTTTCGTATTAAAAAAAAGATTTTTTGAAACTCTTGCATTTTTATCGTATATTCCGTTGGGAAATATATGGCTACTCATAGGGGAAGGAAAGGTATGTACGGTTCATAAAAAATTTACAAATAATGCATATAAATAAGACGTAAAATGACACAATAATTTATAAAATGCGTTTATAAAGTTTTATTAAGGAATAAGAAAATTAAAAGTTAACTCGATTAAGAGTTAATCATCGGTTGTGGAATTGGGCCTAAGTCTTTTACACGCCCTACAATCATTTTATATAGATTATAATTTATGATGGCGCTTATCATTAGTGGCAAATTGATTCACAATAATTTCATTAATATTAATGGTAAGAAGAAGAAATTATAACAGAATATTAATATAACATAAAAGCATATAATAGAATAGTTGCCGAAAAATTACCTTCACTCCTTTTATTTTTTCTGACTTCTACGGCATAAATGCCAACACGATGTATTTGCCGCATGCAATTACCCCAAATACGCTTTGAACTAACTGAAAAAATAAAATATAAATAAATAATTTGGTTCATGATGATTTTATGCAGCGAAATAATCAT